GGTAGGTATAATCCAAATTTAGCAGTGGTGAAACCACGGACACAACTGGTATTATATAAAAGGACACCACATTTTTCGCTTGTAACCGCTAATAGCGAAAACTAATGTAACAGTTTGTACCAATTATTTTTAACCAATGCAATTGGAAAAGTGCAACAACAAACTGTATGAAGTGAAGAACGTTTAGTACTATAATCTTTACTTCTACCGTCCTTTTTTGACGCTTGATGTCCTTTTTAGTATATATTTGGCTACATAAACAAATCGAAATAATTTAAAATGTTTTCAAAAATTTAATTTATTGATAATCAACCTAACTTTTACTGATTATTTAGACTCGTTTATTGTAAAATGTAGTAAATGGCCCTCGAATTGGATGTTTAAAGGCCATAAATGAATAAAATAGGTTTCATATTTTTATTTGGTGAAAGATAGCCTTTTTTTTTTTTTTTGTTCTTCCCTACCTCGCCTTTTAGGCTATACGGGATGATTTTCCCGGGCCGGGGGGAGAGGGCGGGGAATTTAAAATCCCCTCCGGCACCGGGACGCGAACTCGTACTTTTTATATCATCTCAAATCTCTGTTATCCGGTTGCCAGGCAACCAGCGGTGCTGTTACACACGCTTTAGCCTATTCGGCCACCCCGCCCCCTTACCTTTGATGTTTAGTTTCTAATTACATTGAACGGTGAACTCACACCTCAATAGATAAAGAAAAAATGTAATAAAATAATAAACAAATAAAAAATATCCCAAAGCTTGTTTACCTTAAAGAAAACACTTACACACTAAAACAACCTATTGCACCCTAAAAAAAGGATGAAATAAAAAAAAAGTTAAATCATGAAGAAAAACAATTTAACAACTCTTGTCTGTTATCTCATTCTATGTATCATTTCCTCCTTTATATATACTTATGTGGCAATTATTGATTTTTGTTATGTAACATTTTAGTAATTTATTTTAATATGATGGAAAATCCTGACCATAAACGAGTGCATATGGAAAACTAGTAAAAAATAAGAAAATAAATACTGTCAAGATTAAACATGCCGTGAACAAAATCTCGATATAAGTGCGGCTTTATTTCAGCTGATTTTAATAAAATTCAGACTTTAATTTCACTGCAGGAATAATCAATCGAAACTCTAAGAAAACATTTCAAAAACCAATTACGATTCATTTTACTAACATTATCTGTCCCAAAAAATTAAAATTGTATTTTACTACTTTTAAATGACTGGATTCAATATGGAACCTATAATGTATGGTTTATATAAGTACAGATACTGAAGAGCGGGACGGAAAATCCTTTTAACGTGAAAATAAATAAAACGCTGTAAATTCAGTGTTTAATTTAGTTAACTAGACCTATTGGCAGCAAATGAGAAAAATAATTAACTAAGTGAGTTAAACATTATAAACTTAAAGTTATAGATCCAAGTACTCCTGTGTAAATAGATTAAAAATACTATCTACTTCTTTTAAAGACGCACTGAGTCCATCAGGATCTAAAGTTGGAAGGAGCAAAAATAAGAAATTTTAAGTGAAATTGTTATCAACTTGAGGATGAAACAAAATTGTCAGAAATTTCAGTCAAGACATTTTTATTGGGTTAAGAGATGTTTCGACCCAATAAAAATTGCTAACCCAATAAAAATATCTTGACAGAAATTCCTGCCGATTTTGTTTCTTAGAGTTTTTTTTACGATTTTAGGTTGTTTTGACTTTAATTTATTCAGTAAAATCGGTTAATATCATAATATAATATATTTATTGCAAAACATATTACCTGAAAGTTCGTTATATAATGTTGAATTTGAATTGGATGTCGAATAGGAGCGGCGGGAGGTAACATTAAGCTGGCCCCTCCTGGTAAAAATCCTTGTTCCGGCTTGTAAAAATCCTGGTCCATGATCCGACACTCGCATTTTATCACTTTATAAAAATATTTTAAATGGACTTGTTAGGGAACACAGTACTGTTATACTAGCTATCGCTAAACTTTTTTTTATTTTAGTTATTCATTAATCGTTTACATACAATTTAATTGTAAGAAGAAATATGTGTATAACTAAAGGTATTTTAATTGTGTTATATTTACTTTAAAGTTGAAAACACTATAATGGAAATTCGTAAGGTAATAAGTATGAGAGTGAGAAGTGAATACAACCTTAAATGACGTTGTGTAATCACCTATAAATCAGTAACAGTAAGAGTTATCGCTGACCTGTTATTTATGACCAAGCTGTATATATAAGGCTTGTAGCTAAACGGCGATTACGGCATTCCTGAAGACATAGAGGACAAATGCAAACGAATGCAGTTGAATGACAACGTTATCAATTTTCTCATTTCCTAGGAACTGGGAGAGGCTGAGATGATGAGGTCACATTTAATGAGGTGACCAAGGTTCGAGGGTCTAATGTCATACCAAGGTTCTTGGGTAGTAAACTTAATTCATCGCATTACTCTTGGCGGATCCCGTGTTATGAGACTGCAAGCTAAGACTGCCCTAGTAGGGAGTGGGTCAGGCGATAACCACGTTTGAAGTTTTCAACCTCCTTGAAACTGTCAATTAGAACCTCCAATTAACTTTAAATACGGTTTGATAGCTTCACTATCGGTAATAATAAATGAAAACCCTACAGGTAATGAACCCAACATTGCAAAACTACTACTTCTGTCATTCCTGGTGTGGTATGAAAAAGTTTATTGCTTTGCTGAGAAAGATTTCTAATGAGTGACCTGATAAAACTCATGCATTGCAATTATTCAACCTTGTTATGAATACTAGGCTGTACGAAATTCTAGAAGTTAGCACTTTCCTTCTACGAAAATATTCTATTCCGAAAACACTGGGCATTAATTTGGTAGTGGAACCGAGAATCGAGAAAAGAAACTATTAGAAAACTGAAAACTAAATTATTAGATTCTACCATCTAAAAATTTTCTTAGAACATTCGTTTTATAGCTTTGTCCCTATTCGACAAGTAGTCCCACTATTGGAATAAATACTTTTAATTTGAAACGAAGAGTGAAATTTAATAAATGTATTCACTGGAATGGTAAAGAGAAATTAGAAGAATATAGTAAAATTTTATAATAGGTCGTGTTCTTTTAACATCAATTTAATTCAATATATCGAAAGTTTCACATGATAAGATTGAACCTGATATTTTGTCACGATTTGAAGTAAAACCTGGTATACGAATATTCTATAGTTTAACAATTGCTGGAAATTAATTCCGAAATATGTGACAGGCATATAGTCTACCAGCGCTAATTTGATTTTAATGAATTTTTTAGGAACTATGCCGGTAGGGATAAATACTGCCAAAGATAGAGCCATATCAATTTCATGAACAGCTACTTTCACTTACGCATGTGTAAATATTTGGTTGGCAAATAAGTCCTTTCAGTTTTTTTGTATTTTTTTTTTATTCCACTATGACTTATACTTCTTATCTAATGAATTAATCCCTAAGGTGGATAGTTTATCGTGTTTGTAATATGTCAACAATTATATCTGTTAACTCTTGATGAAACCAGCTTAGATTGTGTTTGCTATTGCACTGTGAATATGAAAGAAAATATCATTCCTTATCGGCATATTTTGTTGTATTATTTAAAAAAGGTTAGCGCTCTGCAGAAGCTCATAGAAACAGTTGCAGTGTGTATTGGGGATGATGCCTTAAACGAATGCAGCTGTCAAAATTGGTTTACCTAATTTCATTCAGGAAATTTTGACATCAATGATGCTCCACGGTCTGGACATGAAATTGAAACGAGCACTGTTAAGGCCATTGTTGATCGAAATTCCACTCAATCAGTGGATTGCTATGGCCATAAATGTGTCGCACACAACCGTAGAAAATCATTTGCACAAGCACGGCTGTTTCCAGGCTTAATGTTTGGGTCCACCACCGAAGTCAACTTGGCAACACGCATTTCTGTTTGTGATTCACTACGGAAACGGCAATAAAACGACCCATGTTTTAAAATTTTACGATAATATAGTCCGTAGAAAATCTTGAGGACTTAGTAGTGAGGCTCCTAGAAGAATGCCAAAACCCGGATTGCACCCAAAGAAGATAATGCTTTCCATATGCTGGAATTTCAAGTGTTGTTTTATATGAGCTATTGTCATCAGAACAAACAATTGATTCAATTCTATACTGCTCAGGATTAACAAAATTTGATCAATAAAATACAAATAAACGCCCAGAACTGGCAAATCAGAAGGGTGTTGTGTTCCACCAAGACAGCGCTAAGCCCAACACCTCATTGGTCACTCGCAATAACTTATTGAGCCTTGGATGGGACCTTTTGTCCCACCCTCCATATTCACCAGGCCTAGCTCCAAGAGACTACCACTTATTCCGGTCTCTGCTGAACTCTATGAATGGAAAGAAATTCCAAAAGGAAGAGGACATCAAAAACCACTTGGATCAGTTTTTTAACAATAAACTCCAGACATTCTATGAACATGACATTATGCAGTTAGTGGAAAAACGGGAAAACAGTCAAATTAAATAATAGTCAATATATTGTATATGAAAATAAATGTAATGTCTATAATACACTGAGTTTTATTTCACCCTAAAAAGTCCTAGCTGTATAATTCCGAAGGAAATTATCACAAATCTATAGTGAGGAGAGGAAAGACTCATAAGACTTGGAACTTAAATCTACTAGTAATGCTAAAATGAAATCACTATAAAATCAACAAAAAAAAACACTAAAAATTTCATATGCAATTGTTTTTAAAAGAAGTATGCTTTATATGTTCAAAATATAATTTATATATATGTAATATATAATATATATATTATATATATATATATATTATATATATATATATATTATTATATATATATATATATATAATATATATAATATATATATATAATATTTAATATATATATTATTAATATATATATATATAAAATAAACAATTAAATATGTATTAACCAAGATTAATTATTGGTTCTTTTACAGAGTATTGCTCTGTATATGATGCTAAACATCCACGAGACGCTGTCTTACTACGGACGAGTGTACGGGATCGAAGACGAGGATATCCAAGTGCAGGCGGTGAAGCTTTCGCAGTTGCTCGAACTCCCTCCTTTTCACAGGATAGTCGATACTCTTAGGTAAAGTCATCTAGTTAATCTTAAAAACCACAAACAACCGGATTTACTCCGGATAGTCAGTGGTACAAACCCCATTTTATCAAATTATTAACATCCGCCTAAAGGTTCGTGAATAGCTTCATCTCATCGTAGTAACCTACAACCTTTTTTATATACGAAACTTCTCGGAGTTGGGGAATTTTTAATCTGGACATCAGCCCACTTTGTATATTTAATTAGGTACTAAAAACTCATAAATATCCACTTGCTTTCCACTTGAATCACAAGATAATTTGATCACGAAATCAAAAATAAAGTTGGCCTACAAAAATAGTTGGCCGTTTGGCGTGACCTTCACTCCTAAAGTGAAAATAACGAGGCCCAATATTTTTGTAAGCCATTTTTTCTATCGAATTTGTGATCAAATCAAATTCTCTTACGATTCAAGTTGAAAGCAAATGAGTAATTTTGAGTTTTTAGAACATTAATTAGATTAAAACCTAACTAAATTAGGTTCTAAAAACTCATAAATTTGCTTTTTGCTCATTTGCTTTCCAACTGAATCGTAAAATAATTTTATCTCAAAATCTATAAAAAAGGTGTCTTACAAAAATATTGGGCCGTATAACTTCGTTATTTTGACATGTTAATAGTGGAGGTCACTCCAAACGGCCAAATATTTGTGTGATCCACTTTAATTTTCGATTCTGTAATCAAATTATCTTGTGATTCAAATGCAAAGCAAATGGGTGTTCATGAGTTTTTAGTAGATAATTAAATATACAAAACTTGCTGAACTCTAGATTGAAAATTTTAAAAAGTTCTAGGCGGACATTAATAATCTGATAAAAAGAGGTCTGTACCACGGACTAGGGGTAATAATTATGTTGGGATATAGAAACAATTAAACTCATTCTGATAGATCTAAATCATTCTCTCTTTTTAGTTAATTATTCACTTATTCTTAGATATTTTTTATAAATCTTCCTGTAGATAATTAATTTTGTTTTTTGCCCATTAACGATTGACGTCATAAATAATAAAATAGTATATTTTAGTCAATTTTCGCTACGCCTGACTGTATCCACGGTTTTTCTAGATCTAAGAATTTTGATAAAGCAGTATTTTCTATAATTCAATTTGCATTCTAAATCATTGCAATCTATGATGACATATTTTTAAAAGTTGGTAAAGACCCCAATCTCTCAAAACCCTTAAAAAGATTGGTGCAATCCCAAGTTTCCAATTTCCTTGAAAAGTCCAACTAACTTGATCCTCTCCAATCTGGTTTCCGTCCCGGCTATTCCACTCAATCCGCCTTAATTAAAATTATCAGCGATATTCAGACGCGATAGATGATAAAAAATTAACAGTCCTTATACTTATTGATTTCTCCAAAGCATTCGACTCCATTAACCATCCCATACTTATCAACAAACTAAAGTCACTATCCTTCTCCAATAGTTCCACCTCTTGGTTCCAATCTTTCCTCTCACAACGTACCCAAGCAGGTTGCGTTCCCAATCAACCGCTACATGCCTACCTTTCCTTATCCTACGGAGTTGGTCAGCGACCAAGTATATATTCCCTCTTTTTCAGTTCCTGCATTAGCGACCTACATGCAGAAGATTCTCAAATCTACTTATCCTTTTCTCCCTCTGAGTTGTTGGTAGCATTTGCCAAGACTCAAGAAGACCTGGATCTAATCAGTGCCTGGGCAAATGTAAACGTATTCAGATTAAATGCTGCCAAAACTCAGGCCATTGTAATTGGTTCCAAGACCCTTCTAAGATCCTACACCGACTTTCCCATACTAGAACTTATTGACCAGCCAATCTCCTTTTACTCCTTAGTTAAAAATTTAGGTTTTTTTATTGATTAAACCCTCTTCTGCAATCACCATATTTCTCACATCTCCAGACGGACAATTTCTTTCCTCAAACTATTCCATCGTTTCTGCCATCTCCTACCTCAACATACGCGTAGACTCCTGGTTTCCTCTTTCATCTGCCCCCACTTTGACTACAGCTATGTGGTGTATGATGGACTTTTGGTGGACAGACTGAAAAGGCTAATGAACAGCTGCGTAAGATTTGTAATTAGTGCCCCGAGATACTCCCATGTCTCTCACCGCTAAACTGAGTTAAAATGGCTCTTTCCCTCCATTCGAAGACAATATTACCTAGGTACGTTACTCTATCAAATCATCAACAATCATCGCCCTTCTTGTGCCCACAACCTTCTCCAAATGAAATGACAAAGAAGTATATCTAATTAAGATTCAAATTCATTTTTAGTGGGTATTTTAATAGTACGATTTTTTTCTCAATAAAAATAGTGATCGGTAATATCGACTTAAATTGAAGTATGTTGTATTAAATGTATTATTATCATCGAAATGTAAGTATATTAAATACTTACATACGTTTGATTCTGAAATCTGAAATTTTTAAAAAAATTTATCATTAGCAGATAATAATTTTATTTATTTTTTTTATTGAAAAATCACACAATGAATGTCACAGGAAAGAAAAAATCGTTTAAATTATTAGCATGCAAACTTGGCCAGTTACAGTTTATCTTATTACATTTCCCTTGTGTTAGATATATGATGAGGATATTTCCTGCAAAACAGGCATAACTTTTATGTGAAACAATAATTGTGTTTGAATGTTCACAAGGATAACAGGAGCATTTGTCTGAGCTTGTTGTCAATTCTAATAGCTATAGAGAATATTATTTTACTTCAATTACTCAAGAAAATTTAACACTCATATTAATCATTTCCATCCTTATAGATTGCCTATTTACATAAAGATATTAACATTTTATAAAATATTTTTTTCAGCGCTTAGGGAACATTGGCAAGAAACATCGAAAATGGGTATAATGTATCACGAACCTATAAATAATACATATATAACATAATTTATCTATAATATAAAATAATTTCTATTATTTAAATCTCGTATTAACGAAAAAAGTTTCATTGAAATCAGTGATCCAACGTTCGTAGCTCCCCTCTGTTACAACCTCCTTTCCATGACAAAGTTACTGGACTATAACATAGGAAAAATAAAAGATTCCGGTTTTAACAATTAGATAAGGGTTGTTCGTAACTTTCATCTGCTGTTAGTCCCTTGATTTTCAAATCAACTTTCATAGTTTGTCCATTTAATTTATTCTGTTCTTCGTTTTCAGGTTTACACTCATCCACATGCGGATATAGAATAGAATAGAACAGAAAATAATTTTATTCTGGGACAAAGTATTCCCTTTATTATTTTATTCCCTTTAGAATTACAAAAAGTACATAATTAAAATATTATATCTGGCCTAAATAAAAACAAACACAAAAAATAAATAGAAATAAGTAAAGAAAAGATTAGTTAAACATACTATATAAAAAAAAATCTATATACAAAACACTTGAAACTATGCCAAGACACTTAATAATATGTACAGTGGTCAAACATAAATATACACTTTTAGAAAAAAATAAATAAAACTGTTTCTGTAAAAAAAAAAAAAAAAATAGAAAAGAAAGGCAAATCTGATAGTAAAAATTGTCTGAATATTTAAGTGATGAATAATACGTAAATACAACATTATAAATAATATGTAATTTTACATAAAAGGTTAGCGGGTATCTGACTGTTTTCGGGACAGGAATTGGAATAGGAGGGTTTTAAATGTAGATAGGGAGAGGGAATGCCGAATTTTGATAGGAAGGGAATTCCAAAAATTAACAGAGCGAGCAATAAAGGAGTTTTGGAATGAGACAGATCTGTGAGGACTGATGTAAAGGTCGGAAGGTCGAGATCTTGTGGAAAGGGAATGGACTGAGGACTTGAATTGGAGAAAGTTGTGGGTACAAGAAGGGCGATGATTGTTGATGATTTTATAGAGGAACGTACCTAGGAAATATTGTCTTCGAATGGAGGGAAAGAGCCATTTTAACTCAGTTTAGCGGTGAGAGACATGGGAGTATCTCGGGGCACTAATTACAAATCTTACGCAGCTGTTCATTAGTCTTTTCAGTCTGTCCAACAAAAGTCCATCATACACCACATAGCTGTAGTCAAAGTGAGTCGTCAAAGTCAAACAAGAGCATTCAACCTGACCCCGATAGGCTAAAACCGCTCCGAGAAATGCAACCTCCAACGGACACGTCTTCATTGAGGAGACCCGTTGGCATGTTCGCCCACTACTCGACCTCCAAGTAAAAGAATTTTCTAACACGCTGTACGTTTTCCTTGTTTCAAGACGCATTGCGTGCATTCAGCAACCTCAAGCGGAAAATCGAAAATGCTTCATTGACTCCAATTGAGGATGATGCCCCATTCATCTTGGAAACCGAGGCACCAGACGATGCTATTGCTGCCACTCTTACGCAAGACGGCCGTCCTTCGCATTTTTTTCTAGAGATTTATCAGGTCCTGAACAACGACACTCATCAGTAGACAAGGAAGCTTATGTGGTAGTAGAAGCAATCCGGAAATGGCGAAGCTATCCACTAAAAAGACAATCTTATCACGGACCAGCGTTCAGTTCTTATACGCTCAATTCCAAGAATAATGCAAAAATAAAAAATGCCCTCATACTTAAAAGACGATGTAACCTCATAAATGAATAACGTGGGGTAAATGTTATGAATTTATCTAAATTTAATTTAACATTTGTTTTAAATGAAAACATAATTCATTAATAGTGTTGTATTCTATGAGTTGAATAAAGTCATACGTTAAACGTATTCTTTATTTCATCACATGAAATTTTAGATTTGATTCAAAAAGTTAATTTATACTGTATTGTTTGGTCAATTACAATTACTGCCGTTCCTTAAATTTCGTGTAATTTTCACTAAATTTAAATTAATTTTAATTCTGAGTTTGTAAAAAAAAAAAAAAAAAAAAGTGTCTTACTTGTGCTTGAGTTTATTTCTATTGAAGTACTACCTTGGACCGCACCTCTGTACCACGTACTCTCCTCACCCCTGCCAGTTCCTCCACCACTACCCACTTCATCCCACTCCTTCGCTGAGTTTAGCCTCTCAAAAGTCCTCTTTAAACGGTTTTAACAAAAGCAAACTCTATTTTATTTTGAGTAAATTTTGACTAGTTTTCAGAGAAGCTATCATTAATTACTTAAATTAAATACTTTTTTTTTATCAATTCCTATTCAACAAAAACGTGACACATAGAAAATCACAAAACTTTAATTCCCTACTTTCCTGCTAAAAATCGAAACATCGTTTATATAAACTTTTTTGTATTTATTGAGTTTTGCACTCCTTTAAATATTCCTCTCTGCTTGCAAGACACCCTGTATATAGATTTAAAAACGTAAAAAACAAAATTGCTTACACGGGTCACCAAGAGAATACTTTTTACAGCCGAAAATTCCAGATTTATCTGATCTTTTTTTCCATGTATTACTACTAAACAGTGCATCTAAGCGAAAAACGTATTCTTTATGAAATTAAAAAACGTCAAATTGTGCGTTGAACAAGTACCTAAACTTAATAATTTAATTAAGTCATTAAGTAATTTTCACCGATATTGTCGAAATCTGAGAAAGATTACTGTAAATGGCCCGGCAGCTTGGAAATGAGTTCTGTAAGAAAAAAAAACTCAGAATAATTTCCGATTCCGATCAAATCGGCGACCAAATAATTAGTACATTCTTTCATGAAAATCTTCCCAACAGCAGCTATTTTAATTAAATAACAACACATTCTAATGCGAAGTATAAAAATTATTATCGTGACCAGTTTTATGATTCGCATGGATTCTTCAAGGAGATTATAGTTGCTGAAGGTTGCAATGCGTTCAGATCTATTGAAACTGAGTAAACACTGGATCCAGAAGAAAACTCATATTTTCTTGTGCTCAAATAAAAGTTGGTTCGAGAGAATAAATGAGTTTTTTTTTTTCATAAATTTTCTTCCAGGGATGAATTTTCCCTCTATTTCTCTTTTACTTAAATAGCTGTTTTTTGGATTTTTTTTTTCCAGCCAGAGGGGACGCGCGCCCCCCTCCCCGCTGGATCCGCTAGTGCATTGGCGTAGTTCCAATTGGAAAGATTGATTCCGGGGGTTAATAACAATAGTTCAATTAAAAGCTGAATATAAAATTTCAATCGAATTTAATGGAACTGGGTTTGAAGTATTGCCCCTTAATATTGCCAACATACAGTTTTCTGATCTTGCATTCTGGGAAAGAGTACCAGATTACGATTCCGTGATTTGTACATTTAAAGGATTGTACTTTTCTCCAGTTTTCGAAATTATTCGTTTTAAGATTTATCCCGTTTTTCCGTTATATAAATGCTAAAGTTCATTTTATAAATCTTCTATCTTCATTTAAAGAAAAAGAGAACAAAAAAGACTTAGGATCATAAAATTTATATAAATACATCATCTGAAGCACCACTGGAATTTAACAGTTGAAGTATTCGTGACTGCTGTTTAAAACCACAAAACGTTTTATGGTCTTCCTTAAAGATTATTCCAGGGAAATATATCTGGGATTACAATCAAAAAGCTTCTTGCCGGATTCATGCGAATTATTTAAGTGATAATAAATATTCAATTATTAAAATTTAAAAAGTAACACATGCCGATGACACGTGTATCCTATCAGTTAATAACGATCCATCTATTGCATCCCAAACTCTTCAATCACATATCACAAGTCTTGAAAAATGATGTCAAATCTGGAGGATTAAAATAAATTTCAATAAATCCCATTAAATTACCTTTACTCTTCATCGTAAACCTATGACTTCCTTTCCTACATTATCCTTCAACAATAGCCCACTTATCTCTGTTGAACAAATCCGATACCTAGGACTCCATCTGGACAATCGTCACACTTGGAACCCCCATACCAGACTGAAACCACTAGAAACCGCCCGACGTTTTCGACTTATTAGACAAACGCTCAAAACTTCTAACTATTTACAAAAAACTCATATATATTACTATAATAAGAATGCTTCCTCTTCTATTCCTGATAAACCTCCGAGGCGTCGGAAAGGAAGATGGCCTAGGGAACTTCTAATATAGAAATTTAATTGGAGTGCTACCAATGGGTAGTTTCTCTTCATGTTGTACATGTCATGTTACTTGTTTCATTTTTACTTGTCGTATGTATCATTTAACACAGTTGTCAATTCCAATAATAAAAATTTTTAAAAAATATTAATAAGTACGAAGAGATAGTCTGTTTTTCGTTAGGTACTGCTAAGAGTGAAAAACAGAGCTATTTACAAACTTTTTTTGCAAGATGATCCATGCTCTCACCGCTTCCCAAAAAATTGCATTGCCCTCCTCTTCTTTTTTTTTAGAAATTATCATCTATATACAATTACAATACATCATATCATAATGATAAATTACATGTTTGTGGCTGCAGTAACCATCCTCTTCTTAATAACTGTCCAAGCGAAAGCAGAATTGTAAAAAATCGTAATTTATATTCGATTAATCTTGCTGTGGCTTGGTTTTCCCTTTTATCGTGGTTCAAAAGTAACTCAAAATTGCAACCCCTCAAAAATATGGTTCCATAATTCATAACCACGAAAAAAAACGTCTGCCAAGTAAGGTCAGTATAGCTTCCTCACCGTTTCATTGGCTAAAATATACCTACAATACAAGGTATACAATTTTTCGTATGAGAATAAAATCTATGGAAGAAGCCGGATTCGGAAATACAGTTACCCTTTAACATTCACGGGTTTGATATCCACGAATTTCGTTTATCAGCTGATATTAAAATGCGAAAGAGTGTCATATTTCAAGATTCCATATTCTTAAAAAAAGAAAAAATTCCAATGCATACTGAACATGCATTTCACTCCTTTTTTTTTTTTATTTGGGTTTTATACAACTTAAGGAGTCATATCCCCAACACTCAAAAGCCATTGCTCCCTGTCCATCCAATCTCCTTCACGGAACCCTCTGACTGCCATGCTTTCCTCCACGTCCTCTATCCATTACTTCTTTTGCCTTCCACGCATCCTTCTTTCAGCTGGCATATAGTTATAAATTTTCTTTGACCAGCGGTTCTCATCCATCCGCATTAAGTGGCCATACCACTTTAACCGTTTGGTCCCGTTCAGGTGAAGGATGTTCACTAGATATTGCAAATAGGTTGTATGTAAAGACTCATTATTTCTTTATGCTTTATTGGTGTGATTTCATATTTTATTGTCTTCTACTATTATAATTATTATATATTCAATTTTAATAAATTTCAGTGGTGGTCAACAAAGGCGTGTTTCCTTGGCAGTTTCGCTAATCCACAATCCCCAACTTCTGATCCTTGATGAACCTACAGTAGGGTTAGATCCGATTCTTAGCGAGAGGTAATAAATAATTTTTAGTAAACTTTTGATTTGTGTATTATTTTTTTTTTTAATTAAAACATTTATTATTATTAATTCAGAATAGGTTTACAGTCAACATAAATTATTACAAATAATTTGTTAATAATAATTTCACAACTATTAATTAACATTTCAGTATTTGGCAATATCTGATGAAGTTATCTACTGAACAGAAAAAGACAATAATTATCACAACACACTACATTGAAGAAGCAAGGCATGCCGATAAGGTCAGTATTCTATAATACCAACACGAATACTAATAATAATTGAAATATATTAAAGGTTTGATCCGCATTTAAAAGAATAATTTTAATAGCCCTTTTTAAGCGATATCGTTAACCTTATTATAATTAATAATTAATGTGAAAAAAAGAAAGAAATTAACCACCTATACGAAATGGTGTTTAAGTGGTTCTTGAAATCCTATTAAATGTAATTAAACGTTAATATTAAACCCTATTAAAGTTGTATAAAGCTATCACAAACATTTTTATACTAGAAAAAAATTACTTTAAAATTTATTTTATAGTTATTTAAATCTTACAAAGATTTTTTAAAATTTCTTTAATAACTTCATAGTGTCCTAGAGACAGACTGTAATATTTTTCAATAAATAAGTTTTAAAAAAAATAAATAAATAAAATAACTTCATAGAAAATATGATACTAAAAACGAAAATCTAATTTAAACATTGAAAATATGTTTCAAAAATTAATAAATAATAATAATAATAATAATTGTAATAAATTATATCTAAGAAAAAATAGTTCATTACAACAGATTTTATTTTTGAATGTTAATTTTCTTAGTATTTCTTGATTATGTAAATCTCCTTTAGGGTAACAGAACAAACTTTCCGCGGTATCCAACCTTACTGGAGATTTATATGTATTTACATTTAATTTTAATTTAATTGAAATCTATATATATAAAAAATAATATAACCATTGTTATCATATAGTATCCCACAGATCTATCGCATTCCATATAGATCATATTTAATTTAAATTAAGTAATTATTATTATGTTTGTACAATATATCCAATACAATATGTACTTATAACTGATAATCTATATTTAGATCACATTCTCATATTAACAAGATTTGAGGCATTTTATTTGTTATTAGATAGAGATTTTCGTGCATGTTGGAATAAACAAAAAAAAAAATACGATATCAATATGCTTGCGTATGGCTAAGAACTGTATTATTATAAACAATCGTACGCGTAGGAGGAAGAAATCAGAGTTAAGCGAAAATTATCTGTTTGGCGAATAATGATAAAAATTTAATTATTCAAAGAATATTCTTGAATAATGAATAGTTTATACATTAGGTCCGATTAACATAGGGACGAAGTGTCTGAGTGGACTAACGACTGTTCATCGTTACCGCGCGTTGCCCAGCAACCAGATATTGATATTGAGTTATTGAGATATTGAGTCGCATCCCGGTGCTGGTGGGATTTTTTGCTCTGGGATTAATCCCCCGCACTCAACCCTTCGTCCGGAAAAATCTCGTTTAGCCTGAAAGAGTAGTAGGGGAGGAAAAAAGGGGGGGTCCGACAAACTTAAAACATACAAAAATCAATTCAAATTAAATTAATGAAATCATTTTTTGTCTGATTGAAGTTTTTTAGAGTCGAAATTTCTTTCAATCTTTATTATCAACCCAACAAATATAGACAGTTTTGAATGGTGCAAGGAAATATTTCCCTCATAGTTTTGAAAATAATTGTTTGCTTAAAATAGAGCAAGAAAGTTCCCGGCGAAAGGAAACTCCCATGTTTACTTTTCCAGCTGATAACTGATCTTGGACATTCTTCCTCTTCTTCTGCGTTCTTCCTTATATAACTAAATCAGGAACTAAAATGAATAATTCGATAGTCCTCCTCTGGTTCTCCAAGCTTCCATATAGTTTCCTTTCCAATTCATTCGGAGAGGGCGAGATCACCTTCCTTTGCTGGTAACACCTTCCTCTCCGATTTGGACCTATCAACCCTTTTTCTTTTCCGAGAGTCCTTTTGATGTTAATCCTGGGTAATAAAATACCCGTCGATGTAGTTCGATTGTAGTCATCTATCGACAGTAGCACTCCAGAAAAACCATCATCAACCTATCGTAAGTTGAGTTCTTGTTGCCTCACTCCTATAATTCACTTACTCTTTTAATCCTTTAACTTTAATATGATTTAACTTAAGACTAAGACTCCTCTGCTAGAAACTGCTCTTTGGACATGAACTTTAAAAGTCAAATGAAACTAGAGGTAGTTGAACATTGACTTAACTCGAAAAGTCAACTAATTTAAATAAAAAATTTCATTTTAAGTTTTTCTTTTGGATTATCCTCATACATTAATAAAAGGATTGGAAAGAACCTTATCTTTTCACACTAGTGGCAGCAATATTACATAGTTATGGGAATTAAATATGAGTTTGACTGTCGTAAGACGACAGAGAGTTAATTTTTATATTTTGCAGATCCACTTTGAACCTTCGTTATATCTTTGCATAGAATATCTTTGCACGGCAATAGGTCATCGAACATTGCATAAACCGTTTTGGAGGTTGAAACGAGGATATAAAGATGTTGAGGTTTGACATAAGAATAGAGGTTCAAAGAATTAGATAATAATGTTGGTAAAGATTACGTCTTTTAAAGATTAAAAGGTAGGAAACCAACAGTTAGGATTTTGAAACTTACGATAAATAAGTTGTCTCTGATAAAAAGATCGACTCGTGTGATTTTTTAATAATTAAAAACAGTACTTCATTGTGGGCTCTAAAGGTTTTTGTATTTTTATAAAATTTTGTACCTTTAGTAAAGTTACAGAGAGTAAATGACAATATTAATCATTCTTCCTTGAATTAATGTTAAGATGTGCAAAGATCGTAATGTATCACTTATCATCTGTCAAGACTTATAATAGAGTTTTGTATTTCGATGTTTATTTTAGGGTTATGTCCTGTATTAACAGAATTTTTTGTAAATTTTGAGTATTTATAAAAATTTGTATTTGTGGTTTTTGTTCTGTCATTTAATTGAACTAGTGAGTAATTAAAGTTAGAAATGGTGGCGGATATTATTATAATTTGTTGTTGAAGTGTTCTTTCGGTCTGTTTCTGTCCGGTCATTAGTGTATCAATTGAATCTGAAAACAGCTGTGCGTCATTGGAGTCAGAGGTGCCGGATAACCATTTTAAACCGTTTTCAATGACGTTCGTTAATTCTCCATTATTAGCGCGCTGAATTGTAATGTTAAATCCCTTTTGAAGTCTCTTTTGGTTGTCCATTAATACCAGTTCACACTGAAGATGCAAGCTCCAAGATGCATGCGTCCTGGATCCAGGATCCATGTGCGTCTAGCATCCTGATAAAAGAGCTTTCACACCAAGGATGCACTTGCCTCTTGCATCTTCTATTTATATCCATTATCTCTGTTAGTTTAATACGTAGGTTTGAAAGATGAATAATCAATCATCCGACTTTTCAGACGACGAAATTATAATTCTGGCTTGTACAATAAAAAGAATACGAAGACAAAGAAGAAATCGTTTATAGGAGCATCCATACTGGAATAATGCTGGAGATTATAGCCCTGCTATGGTATCTCAGCAATTATTGAACCCTTTTTTCTGTTCTTCCCTACCTCGCCTTTTAGACTATACGGGATTTTCCCGGGTCCAGGGGAAGAGGGGGTGAGGGCGAAAAATTTAAAATCCCCTCCACCACCGGGAGGCGAACTCCTTTTTTAATCTCTCATATCTCCGATTATCTGGTTGCCGGGCAACTCGCGGCTCTGTGCACACGCGTTAGCCCATTCGGCCGCCCCGCTCCCTTGCAATTACTGAACCATCCAGTAAAGTTTTAAGCGTACTAAAAAATGGTGATTTCGACATTTAACAAGTTGTTGGATCTCATGTAACCGTCACTGAGTCGTCGGTATACAAATGGTCGGCTGTGTATTTTTGCGAAAGAAAGAATACTCATATTTCTGAGGTAAATAACTACCTCCCTTATTTTATTTTCCCATAAATTTTCCCATACCTAAACTTATTTTCCCATGAATTGTATAACTCATTCTTTAAACATGTGAATGTAGCTCAAAACTAAAAATATTAATTAGCTATATTTTGTACAGCGTTGTTTATTATAAGTATCAATACCACAGCTTGGGGAGAAGAAGAGGAGGGGAAGAATGAATATTACTTTATAATTGGAAAACTACAAACTCACATCTTTGTGTCTTTAAAATGCAGGTAAAGAATAAAATAAGCCGTCAACGATTCACCAATTCAGGCATCATCAGGACAGGTGACACCACTTCATGACATTCTCTCGTAATTTCAATAGAAAATTATTACTAACGATGTATTGCTATTTCGGCATACATGTTCCATGGTAATAACAAGAAAAATAGTTAAAAGCGTATGAAGAACTAGTTGAAAATCAGAGCAATTGATAAAAAACATACAGTAAAAAAAATAAACAATAGATAAAAAAAGAAAATTGTTGAAAATAAAAAAGCAATTAATAGAGACGTTAATCACAAGAGCTTAGAGAATACTCAGAAGAGAGAGAGTAGACCTAGCGTTGGCGGTTAAAGCCGACTGGACCCGATGATTGCTACTCAAAAATATTTTGCTTCCGGCGGTCCGAGCTGGAAGGGACGAGTATGTGATGAAGAAAAAAGAAGATGCGCTGAAAACTCCAGCCAGCTGGTTCCCAAGATGCACATGCATCTAGCACCCAGACTGCAAGACATAATTGCATTGTCGGTTTGAAAGCTCTCATTCTGTTACACATTCCAGTGTTTAAGGTGCATGCATCCTGAATCTCCAGTGTGAAAGGGGACTTAAGTCCTGCGGGCTATGGCATGTAATGAAAAAAATCTTGTTCCATAAATGACACTTCAGTTGTAAAATGAGCTTTATAAGAGACAAAAAAACATGAATAAATGTTGTACTAACCACGTGTGCGCGTAATATGCTATATTTCATATTTTTAAAATTTTCTCATTTTACCAAAGAACCTATCCTCCCCATTCCCAATTTATTTAATTTCTCACCTTTTCTTAAAAACAAAGTAAGGAAGGCAGAATCAGAAAAATTGTAGATCATATACAATTACACTTATTATGGTCTGTTCCATCTTTTTCTCTTGTTCCTTAGTATGAAACTTCATTTAAAAAATTTATAAGCCCACCAAAATATGTTCTTCTTAAAAATTCAAAAACCCGCCAAAATATAACTCCCTCAAAACCCTTTCTGGACACCCCTACTTATCCACCAGAGTTTTTAACACACAGTCATATAAGATTTTAGATAGCCTATGATACTCGATTAATTACATTTTTGGACACTGGCTCCGAAGGGATGACCACAGAGTTTTCGCAAATAAGTACAAAAAGCATCGTCCTGGATTGGACTGAGGACTAGAAACTAACTTATAATTTGATTGACACAGGATAAATAATGAGCTGCATAGAGTATAAATAATGAGATAACTAGAGTGATATTCATGTTACCACAATTTCATATATACCATAATATATATCACAATACCACAATACAACTTCTCATAACCCCCTACGTACAAATAATTTACATTTCGAAGTTTTTTTTTTTTTTAACCTTAAAGACTAAATAAACTGTTTTGTTGACACCTTCTGGAATTCATGAGAATAGTTTTAGTTGGCAGAATATACATTTTTTACTGTTTTTATTGAATAGTTAACTTTATGTCCAATATCCCATTTCTAAAACTGTTCAATTTTTTATTGTACTATATAACAAATTTAATTACATATTTCAGGTGGGTTTGATGAGAGGAGGAATACTTCTCTGTGAAGAGGCTCCAACAGATCTTATGCTGAAAAATAACTGTGACACAATGGAAGCTGTATTTCTTAAACTGAGCTATATACAAGAAAAAAACAAAGATGTGAGTCATAAATCCCAAAATTATATTTTAAAAACCTTGTGGTTAAGTGGTTGATTTTATTTAAATCAGGAGTTGAAATTGAAAAAAACTTTTATTTTTAAAAAGTTTCGGTATTACTGGAATTTTAATATTGATAATTTTTGAGTTCTAATGGAACTAGAACTTTTTCCCTTGCAACTATTCAAGTAAAGATTTTACAGAACTTTGTTTTAAAAAAATGTATTTAAAAGTTCTGTAAATTTTGCTGATAATTCAGTCTAAAAAATTACTTTTATTTTTAGCTACTCAAACAAATGACACATCAGAATCATGTGTAATCCATTTTAAACAAACTATAACTCTAATCTAAGCCCAATTACTGTTTAATTTTAATTTAATAGATTTATTTTAAAAACTTTAATAAATATAATCTAAACTTTTACCATAAAGCTAGAACTCTACCAGAAAAAAGTTCTGTAGAACTTTCAAATAAGTAAACTGCAATAGGTTAACTTCAATAAAAAATACAGCATCTTTCCTGAAGTTTGAGGTCATGTTAAACCTATATGAGCCTATTATGGATAAGTTAGTTGATAAAGATATAATATCTAAATTTATAATACTAGGTTGTTACAAAAGTCATTGTGCATAATTATTGCTATATTTCATATTACATATTTTAACCATTATTTAATACTACTATAGAAAGTAAAACCCCCTGTTTTCAACTACTTTCACCTATCTTTCTGATACCACTCCTTTGGTTTTGAGACAAAGAACTCTTCACATCCAATTTCTACTTCCTTGTAATTATCAAAGGTCTGAATTTTTAAAAAATGAGCCATTGATCTAAACAACCATAATCTGATGGTGCATAATATATGTTATACACAGGATGAGGCAAAACAATTACTGTTTGTAATTCCGATAATTTTTCCTTGGACAAACAAGAATGTTAATGTCTTGGTTCTTGTTGAGTAAATTGGGGCACTTTACTCTCAAAACTGAAAAAAAATCTGTTAAGATGTTCTCAGTAAAAGTTTGAGTCTACAGCACGACCATCAGACAAGCTCAAATGCAAAACACCTTCCAGTTTCCACCTAACATGCAGCATCACTTTTTTTCCGAAACCGAACTTGACAAACCTCCAGTTGAGCAGCTTCACCTAGCCATACCCACTGTTTGCTTGGATTTTTTAAAAATATCCCCTTTCTGTCACTTGTGATAATTTTTTTCTGAATCTGTCATCTTTCGGATTTTGTAGCAAAGAACGACATCACCTATGACCGATGGGTGACCTGATCTGGGTGCATCTGCAAGGCTTATATTTCCATTGTTGAAACATCTGAAACAAAGTGTGATGGTATTTTGATGGATATCTGAATCTCCTTCTATGGTACAACTTTCTTAGGAGGCTACCTTTGAGCTTAGATGTTTTTTCCTGTAATACACAAAAGACTGTGAATCACGGTTTGTTTAATCTGAATCTGACATTGCACGTGTGTTTTCAAAATTTAAATGACGCAATAAAGCCAACTTGAGTCACAAGTAATTAAAGTATTATTCAATGTACACATTGACAGAAATAATAGGAACAAAAACATTCTTATAGGATTAGTTATGAGAATTAGAATTGAAAGTTGTGTTCATGCTCAAGGACTTTTGTAATTACCTAGTAGATATAAAAGAAAATATGAAAATGCAGCAATATATCACTTTTAAAAAAAAAAACTACATATAAAATAAATCCAAATTTCATGATGCATTTAGATTTTTTTCTAAATAATATATAAAAAATCACCCACAAAATTATTGCTAATCTTTTTTTTTTAAGGTATCCTTAAATACACCTCAATAAAAATTAAAAATTTTTAATGTTTAATTTTTAGATGGATCCGCCTGTAATGTCATCTACAAACACCTCTTCATCACCTTTCCAAAAAGCCAGTATATTTAAGAAATCATGCTTCTATGCTGAACTTGTGAAGAACATGTTTTTTGTGTGGAGAAATAAACCGTAAGGATTCCATTAGAACTGTAGTCAAATACAAATCATATACTCAATTTAACATAAATTTAATAGTATTTTCTTTCACAGCATGCTGATATTCCTCTTCGGACTACCAATAGTTGTAACTTTTCTATTCAACATTTGTATTGGACATAAGGTGACAGGCTTAAGTGTGGCCATGCTCAATAAAGAAGTTGAAAATGGCATTGCTGATTGTGATAATTTTCACTACCATGGATGTAATCTCAGTTTTCCTTTGGGTTGCAGGCTTGTTAAAACATTACAGTCTAACGATGTTAATCTAGTATGAATTACAATAAAGTATTATTATGCTTATAAAAGATGAAATCTGCTTGAACAATAAGCTAAAATGGTATTTGTTTAGATTGAATTTGATGATATGGAAGAAGCACATTTTGCTGCTAGAAAGAATAATGTTTGGGGGATTATTGAAGTACCTGAAAATTACACTGCTGGGATGCTTAATAGGCTCACAAATAATCTTAAAACAAAGGATCATAATGTTGAAGCTAGTTCTGTCAATGTTTGGCTGGATATGTCAAGTAGGTAGCTATGTAATAACATTCATCTAGTTAAAATATTCACATAAAAATTAAAATTCACTATTACAATACGCAAAAGTTAAAATAAACAAAAGTTAAACTTGGTACATCATTTCACTCTAGTATACTGAATATTAAAAAAAAATATATTTCCATGACTATTAGAAATGCAAATCCTAAATAAAGTTTTTACTTCTAGCTTTTTTAAATGAGTCTTTTTTAGTCTTCAGCCTTCTTCTCTATTAAAAAGTGAAGATCTGTTTTTTATCAAAGATTAATTGCATTAACTTTTAGAATTATATTAATATCACACCATTCATAGAATAATAAACAACATTTAACTTGAATTGTGAAAAATATATAGGAATTAGTTTAAAGTAAATCTTTATAGCAAAAATCGGCTTTTTCTCTATGGACTTCTAAAAATAATCTAAGTCCATCTTTGATACAAGGCCACCTAAATAACATAATTGTAATGTAAATATTTAATTAAATTTCAGATCAAAATATTGGTAATCTTTTGAAGTTGGACATTTGGAATGCCTATAATGCATACATGGAAATGTTATATGTAGATTGTGGCTGGCCTGTGGAAGCAACACGTGTACCTATCAAGGTATTTTAATATAGTTATATTATGTTGTATATCTTTATCCTAAATGATAAATTGGTTACTTGGTAGCCCACAATGGAGTCATAAAAGTTTACTTTTATAACATTATGTATAAATGTCAGTCAGAAAAAAAGTGATGGGATATTGCAATGAAAAATTATTTTTATACTTCGAGAAGGTCGATTTTTAAAAGGCAATAAAACTTTACTTCTGCTCATTCAAAGTTGCAATTTTAACTTTGACTTCATCAGAGCTATAACTATACAATGCGAAATAACTAAACAAATGCAAACAATGAATAATCTTTATTTTATTTTCATAGATTAACAAACCAATTTATGGAGTAGTAGTACCTAATCTGACACATTATGCGAGCCCTGCAATAATACTCTTGTAAGAAAATTATAAATAAAATAAAGTAAAAGCCTGATTTATCAATGATAAATACCTATCTTATTGAAAAGTTGTTATTTTAGGTTAATATTTTATTTACCAATGTCCTACACTATTGGTGTCTTGGTTCAGGAAAAGGTGCTTGGGGTACTAGAAAGGAGTTTAGTAGCAGGTATGATGTAGAAAATATGAAAATTAGAATAATTATAGTAAGTGAAAACAAGTTTAAACTGATTTAAAGTATATTGAAGAAATATATCATCAATGGATACAGATGTTATATGATATATTTCTCTAGAACTTATTTTCCAATCATTATCTATTTTACATTGGAAATAATAGACTTTTGCACTGCAATGAAGATCATCAGCGGAAGATAGGGTTGCGTTTTTTATCAATTAAGAACCCCTAGAACTCCTATTTTTGTGAATCTTTGTTCTCTTGGAAATTTGATCTTCATTATTTGGTCTTTTATTATCTCTAATCTATAAATCTAGCCCATAAAGTCCTAATTCTGGCTTGATAATTATTTTAATTATCCATACAGCTTAATAAAAATAAATTTATTTAAATTAAATATTTTTAAGACGACCAAATTTACATTGACACATGTTCCTTACTCACCTCAATTTTTTGTGCACTGTGATCTTCTTCAGAAAATTTCTAAGGGCTCAACAACAATTTACCAACCAAAGGCTCTAACCCTAGAAACTATCAGAAAACGATTTCCAGAATCTGAATGGCTTCATGGGTTTACTGATGGTTCTGCACTGGAAGCAAACAAACATGCTGGAGCTGGAGTTTATTTAAATGAATTTCAATTTGCCACCCCAGTCGGAAGGGTAGCCACAAATTTTGAAGGGGAAGTGAAAGCCATTCTCTTAGGCCTTGAGAGATTGGTTGAATGGAAAGACAAGAAAGTTGCTTTCTTTGTCGACTCATAAGAGGAGCCAAAAGATTGGTCCACTGCATTGATATGCCCTGTTTATAAGAAGGGAGACAAGATGGAGTGTGAAAACTGCTAAATACAGCATACAAAGTTTTCTCCATTCTGTTGATGAGCAGGATACTCCAGTACTCTGAGAGAGAGGTCGGGGAATACCAGAGTGGATTCAGAAGGGGTAGATCCACTATAGACCATATTTCAAGCATAAGGATCATTCTGGAGAAATGCTATGAACAAAATATTGATCTTAACCACCTCTTCATAGACTACAAGCAAGCATACGACAGTGTAGACCGTGGCAAAGGTGGGTACACCGAAAAAACTGATATGATTAGTGTGACCTTGGAAGAGACACAAGGAAGAGTGAAAATACAAAGTGCAAGGTCCAGTACCTTCCATATCAACACAGGATTAAAACAAGGACCACCCCACTCTCCCATCCTATTCCACATTGTTTTGGAAATAGTGATAAGGGCCATTAGAACAAATCCTGGGGGAACCATCTATAACCGACTGACCGAACATCTTGCCTTTGCAGATGACATTGTCATTACTGGTTGTAGACATGCATCCTTAACAGGAGCTTTTGCGGAATGTGAACAGGCCTCAAAAATAGCAGGACTCAACATTAATGAAAACAAAACTAAATACATGAAGACCTCCCGTGATGATTGTGGGACAAGAAATGCTCTCAGAACTGGAAAATACTTTTTCGAACAGGTATAGGAGTTTAAATACCTTGGGGCCAATGTAAACGAAAAAAATGACATACAGGCAGAAATAAAGTCACACATGATGGCCAAAAATAGATATTGCTAAGCGCTCGGAAAAGTACTTAGGTCAAAGGTGTTGCCTTGGCAGTTAAAGAAGGCCGTATATGTCAGCATTATTAGACCAGTGGTGACATATGGAAGTGAGACATGGGTCCTCACCGGGAAGTCAAAGCAAGTACAGAACGTGTGGGAGAGTGAAGTCCTGAGAATGATTTTTGGCACCTTGAGAGAGGGAGATCAGTGGAGGCAGAGGAACAATCAGGAGCTCCATGATCTATACAAGGCCCCGGATATTGTCACCTGCATGAAGACAAGTAGAATTAGGTGGCTGGGACATTTGCAGAGGATGGAGTAGCAGCGTATCCCGAAGAAGCTTCTGGACAGACCCTCTGGTGGAGGATGAAGACAATGACGTCCCAGATTGCAGTGGCTAGAGGACGTGGAGGAGGACCTGAGGAGACTTGGAATCCGAAGGTGGAGAAGAGCGGCTTTGAACAGAGACGAATGGTGGAGGAGGCCAGGGTTCTGCAAGGACCATAGTGCCATCGAACGATCGAATGAACGAAGGAAATTGATTAAATGTTATTAATGTTAAATACTCACTAATTTTCTAAAAATCGTTTAAAGTTTCTAAAATACTTGAGTGTGGATAAGATAAACTGGTACTTGTGGGCGGGGTGGCCGAATGGGCTAAAGCGCGTGCACTGCACTGCCGTTGCCTGGCAACCTGATCTATGAATCAAAGGTATAAAAATAGTCACGAGTTCGCGTTCCGGTGCCGGGGGAGTCTTTTAAATCCCCGCCCACACCCAAAAAAAAAAAAAAGATAAACTGGTACTCAATGTCTTTCTTAAAAGACTAGGATTGTAACTGCAATACATATTACAAAGTTCTAAGATAACTTATTGAACAAGTAAAAGGATATTAGAAACTAAATTATTGAGTACATACCATTTTTTATCTTTTTTCATATACTAATTAACTTCACAACTATAAAAAACTAATAATAGTAAAAATAAAAAATTTATTACCTAAGAAAACACATAAAACATATAGACAATTAGAAAGAACCACAATAAGATTGTAATGCTGCTCAACTATTTTGAGTTGCTAACTGACAACACAGCATACTATATATCGTAATGTAAATATTACATAGTGTTTTTGAATATTGTCGCGAAGGTGGTGATGTCATGAACTACTGACAGGAGTGACAGATGGTGAGGGAAGCAAGTCCCATATGTTAAGTAGAAGGTAGCCAGCCGGCTAGGAAAGAGGATCAGTGAGAAGAAAATGTTAGAACAAGTAGTGAGTGTCAACAAGAGAAAGTTGTAGAAGTTGGATACAATACCGAGGAAGACTCACCGCAGAACAGGGTGAGTGAAATAAAAATGGACAGTTCGAAAGCGTGCCAATATTAGACCCTGACAAATTTAATGGAAATTCATAAATAAGTTATATAAAATCAATGTATGCCTTTGTATTATATATTTGAGGAATGTGTGTAAGTTGTCTCAACCCAACCTGAGAATTAATTATTGTGTATAATAAATATTATTTGATTAAGAAACTGTTTGTTTACTTTTCGAAGTGAACGTAACTTTACAATATACACAGACAAAATTTAGATATAATAATTTTCTTCTTTTTAGTTCAACTTTGTATAAATTTGTACCACATACATGTGGTACAATTGACAATTAACTCTTACAAATACCTTCTAGAGATTTGCTAATAGTTAATTACTATTAATTGATAGATTTAGTTTTTATTTTTATGAATTTTTCTGGTTACTTTCATTTCAGAATATCATATTGTTAATAAACCATTAAGATTGTAAAATTTAGCGCTCCATGTTCATGTTGAACAGACTTATTTCAATATTTTATCAAAATATTTTAGGAATACCGGATAGTTGAAAATGGTAAGGATTAATTTTAAAAATGCATATTTTGAATGAAAATATTTTGAAAATTAATAAGAAACAAACAATTTGACATTGGTATTTAATTATTCAACTTAATGCAAGTAAATTATATAATTACAAACAATTATAATATTTTTATTTTTAATTTATTTCATATATTTTATATAAAATTATTATTATATATTATACATGTCATATTTAATGTCATTTTATTTTATTTTTATGAGATTAAATGTAATTAATAAATTTAAAACAATTTGTTGTTAATAGGAGTTACTTTGACCGAGGTGTTTCTGGCACATGGAGCTGTTCAAATTATTCTCCTTGGAATACAGATGTCTCTATCTATGTATGTTTTATACTCTGTGTATGACAGTCCATTCATAGGTGATCCTCTAACTACAGCACTGCTTCTTTTACTTCAAGGAATTAGTGGTTTAGCATTTGGTAAGAATTTCAATTTATCGGTTCACAACACATATTCTAAACCCAGAATGTAAGAAATATAACTCAGAAAAGATTCTTTTAGAATAAACATTATACATAAATACCCACAAGGTGCTTCCTATAACATATGATGTCGGTAGGTCAGCTATTGTTTGCATAGGTTTGGACAGATAATTCAAAGGCTGTCTGTTTGGAATAGGGGTCTAACCATTAAAATTTCTAATGTACAAAATTGTTCGTTGTTTCTCTTTCATTCTGATTCTATAATATATATGAGTATAATCCCTTATAACCATACTTATGCTCTTTACATGATATTAAAAAATTTAGAGCAATGTGGCATAAAATTATACTGTTTTTTTATTTTAGATACTTCCTAGAGGAACATAAAAGCCATAAATAAGTGATCATTTTCAACTTGTTTCAATATACTTATTTGGACTTTTGACAGGACTTTAGATTTTTAGTGAAATTGGAAGCTGTTGCAAAATAAAAAAAGTCTAGTGAACGCAACACACAACTTTCACTTACCACTCTACTTGAATATAAATTATTTTCTGGCAATGACGGGCTATTTTAAAAATTTTTAAGTGCATTTTTAACTGATCTAAAGCTTAAAATTTACAGTTAACAAATCATTGATACTATTAATATAACAGAAATTCTATTTATTATATCAAAAGTTGATTATGGTTTGTACGACTAATAGTTAATAAACTGTTATTTTCCATTGCAAATTTTCTAAAATGGAATTACAATATTTGCATTGCTTGTATTAGATAAGTCAAAAGTTGTCACACAAATTGTAAGTGGGTATAGTTGGGATATCACAAAGGGAAAATTCATTATTCACTAATTTAATTTTCTAAAAGTTTCCACGATGATTTTTCAGAATAAACAGACGATAGATACCTAATTATTTAAATATTATATCAGATCTACACTTATTAAACTATAATAAATGTATTAAAGGTTATAAATCCATTAAATATTTTTATATTTCACCTTTTCTTTCACACAACTACAATGAAATAATATATAAAAAAATGTCATTGCCTTGATTTGCTGGATTTTAAATACTTTTTCAAACTAAAAAAATTTTTACATTAAGTATGAAAATTCCATTTAATTTCTTTGGAAACATGTAAATTGCGTTAAATAATGTTAGTTTTCAGAAACTATTATTTTATATTTTCTCCATTACCATTATAACTTCATTTATTATATATTTTTTTATAAAATTCTCTGCTTTCCAATAATATATAATAAAATATATATATATATATATATATATATATATATATATATATATAATATATATATATATATATATATATATATATATTATATGTATACCTTCTGATTATTATTTCTGAAGATTCATTTTCAGCCTGGATAAGCATTTTTCTTTTTTTCCCCTTTATTCAATTATCAAATTCTTTCAAAAGTTATATTTAGCCCTTTTTCATAACTACAAACAATGAGAGATAGTTAATTATTTAAAATAAACTAAATTAAAGGTACTTTGGAGGAAGACATGTGGAACATTGGGCATTTAAATCCTATAAAGTGACATCAATGGGAATAAGACCTAAATGATATTAAAGACTTAATCACACAATAATACTCAGAGTTTAATCAAAATCGTTAGAGCCATTTTTGAGAAAATCGTAAAAATGTGTTAAATCGATAATATAAAGTGGCACTTCCGGTTAGCTGATTTTGGTCAAAAAGTCGCTGTCATATCTCAGCCATATAAAAACCTTAAATATGCAATTTCAGTTTTGTACGACTTCTTGTTTTTGTGCTAGGCTGTACTCACAGAAACACACACATGCACAGGCACACACACACACACACACGCGTGCACGCCCACACACACCATTTTGCGGGATTTGGTTATTTTGACTTAGTTTATTGATGAACCTTGTTGAGCCTTCTGTATCCAGGCAATAAACTTCGAGGAAACATTTATAGTTCTTCCTTTCAAGGAATTTGGCTATACAATGCTTTATATTATTGAGACGGCGAGTGACAAGGAGCATGTTATGCGAACAGTTGCCCAACACATGAGCTGGATTTCTGACTCTGTCACATTTCCAGCAGAAGGGTCCAACATCTCCGTTAATTTGACTTCCGACCCCTGATACTCTGCAAAGAGGAGCGTGATTAACATTTAATTTCATGTTTTTCATCCATTCTGAGCCAATGAGAATTTTTCTATCATAAATAAATTTATTAGTCCATAGATTTGATTTAAAATGGGACACACCAATTCCCTGCCACTTGCCCTTTCTCCACTAATCAAAGGACTTTTCCCTCAGGAACTGTCTCACCTTCCTAACGATCCCTAACAGATCAGTACACATTCTTACATCATGCCTGAAATCTAAAATCCTCTGAAACAGGGAATCTGTTACATTGACCAAATTATGGGAAATAGACCAGTGCTAAGGAGGAGCCTACCATTGACACTGCAAAAGACCCGAGCCTCTACATCGCCACGTTACATATATCACCACTGAACAAGAACTGGCCAGTAAATTTACTATCGCCTTAACACTTCTTCATAATATGTCTATAGACTCCAAGAGCAATGGGGGCAGTTTCCCCAATGGCGCCGTCTGCAGTGGGTACATTAGAGAAGCGAATACATGTCTGTTGACAATATGTTTCTTCTGTTCTGGCTTAAGAAGATTCGAACTTACCAATTTTTCTATATTTCTAGTTACTTTAGCCACAGAACCATCATCTAACTCTAGCTCTCCAGAGAACAGACAACCACGGTATTTAATAGTGTCACCCTCTTCAATGGAGCTGATTACCTCTCCAGCATCTTAGCAGAATCTTGATTTGACTAAGCTTCCCTTATCTAAATTGATTCCAGAACTTTTTTGGGGATTAATGCTCAGTCCCAGTTCACAAAGTATCCTTCCAATCCAATTTATTGCTCTCTCTCCAGCTTCAACACTGCATGATTTTACCACTAGATCATCACCAAAGTCTGTAAGTAGAACAACAGTGTAGCCATCGAATAATTTGAACCCATGAATAAATTGAATATTTCTCCGCAACCCTTGGTTCACACGGTTCTATGTACAGAGAATCTACCCTCAAATTGAAGAGTGCTGGAGAAAGTGGTCCACCCAGTGATACTCCTCTCAAGACTTTAGTATTGCTAGTCTTGTTGATCCTCTGACTCACTCTTATTGTATTGTGACACAGTAAGCTCTCTATTCCTTTCCTAAGGTCAGATGAAACACCTTCAGCTTCCAATGACTTCAACATATGATTACGGCCAATATTATTGAATGCTCCAGTTATGTCCAAGAATGCAACAGTAGTATCTCTCTTTTTGTTATTTGCATCCTTGAGAACAGCCTCAATGATTCCTCGAGTTGATGTGGCACCCTGGTTGTACAATCACAAAACCCCTCTGATTTGGGTGAGAAGAACTTTGCATCCGATTCTCATGATCAATCAGAGACTTTTTCAATAATTCACCTCAATATGGGATAAATCGTTATGGGTCTCCATGAAGACAAATCATCACTACAAACCTTTCTTTTATAAATTAAAATTGTCCGCTCGCAAAGAAGATTTTCAGAGACATAACCAAATTTCAGTATGATTTCTATTATCGTTTTGATTATATGGGAAATTCCCAGCTTCCTTATTGTTCTCATAAGAACTCTACCAGGATTGGACGAAGTCCATAGATGTGCTGTTTATTGCCTTATGAACAACTCTTAGTTCTAGTTCTATATTTGGAATATTGGAAGATGGTATATAGCTTTCCTTCACATTACTATTTGTTGACACAAAGAGCTTCAATCTCCTCATTTTTTATGGACCATTGCTTTGGGTTGGCCGGACTCATGATACTTTGCACCACTTTTTTTCTAAAATTGTAGTACTTATATTGGGCCAGGTCATATTCGAATAGTTCCCACCTTCTTTTTCTGTCAACATTGTTGGATCTCAAGGAGTTGCTAACGTTTCACAAACGTGCGTGCAAAACACCTGTTGCCTGGTAACCTGATAACTGAGGATACTTTGATAACATAATTTGTAGTTTGCGTCCTGATACTGTGGGGCTTTTAACTCTAGCATTAATCCACTGCCCTAACCCTTGGACTGGTAAAAACTTCGTATAGCCTAAAATTCGAGAAAGGTGTAGACAAACTAAAATGTTAATCGTGCTATAAGTGAATTCCCATTATAGTCATTGAGTAAACAGCTAACCATACTAGTCCTTAGAGAAAGAACTAAGACACTTATGGAAAGGAGATAATATGAAAATGTCATGTACTGCTTGATGAAAAGTTTTGTTACCGATATACAGGATCTTCCAGAAGAATACGAGCTTGTTTGCTCTATCATAAAATGAAATTTAATATTTTAATTAATTGTCTCTATTTATTTTTTACTCTTGTAAGCATCTTACATAGTTTACAATTTTGATAAGGCACTATAAGAACAAACTTATAACTACATCACTCTGTAATTATATATAAAAAAAAAAAAATTACTCGGAAATAAAGTAAATATGTGTATATATATATATATATATATATATTTTTTTTTTCCGGTTTGCGCTACAGACCGTGCAGATCTTTGCCAGCGAGATTTGGTCTCCTAGACCACATCCTGATTCCTGATTTAGGTTAGGGTCATCAGTCCTACGCCCGGTTAGTGTGAGTTGCATCCAGTAGGCTGACGGGCCTCACGTGTCCGGGTGGGAGTCTCGGGCAGCGTGGATTTCCCTGGTGGCCGGCCACCCAAATCGGGCGGTCACCCATCCAAATGCTAACCACGGTCGGCATTGCTTAACTTGGTTACCTATTGCAAGCGCCTTAGCCACAGCCCCTATATATACATATATATACATATATTGGTCATTTATGTATTATATTTTAAATTTTTACAGGGTTTTTTGTGGCATTGATATTTGATGAAATGAAAAATGCAACTTATGCTGCTTTAGGAAGCTGTTTTACATTCTTCTTCCTATCAGGTAATATTTGAAATATATATTGCAGTAATGAATTATTTTAACAACATAAACCATTCAGGAGATGAATTTTATAATAATTGTTTTAGGTATGGTTTGGCCACAAGCTGGTATTCATTACTTCTTGTTGTGGTTCAAGTGGCTTGTACCTGTAGCATACAGTGTTGAGTCATTACGCTCACTCACTGCTAAGGGATGGCCAATCAGTCACCCTATAGTTATGAAAGGGTTCATCTCAGTTGCTGCCTGGATTCTAGCATTCTGTCTGTTTGCTCAAATCATATTGAGGTTTAGGAAAGGTTCTTTCACTACAACTTAGACTAAAATATCAAGGTGTTAATATATAACTTCTTTGATTCTTGAAGTAATGTACTTCAGTGCTCTTGTGATATGTAAATAGATAGACTTAATGATTTTAATGCACATTAAAAGTGACATTGTATCTTTAATAAGTACTTCTACCATTGAATAATTTTTTTTAACTATTCAGTAGAACTCCTATAATACCTCAACTTTAAAACAAAATCATAACAGAAATGTATCATATATACATATATATTTTTTTTACTTATGTAATTTGAATATACAAATTTCATTATGCATTTAAAATGTGAAGCATGTACAATGTACAAATTAATGACAATAGCATAGTATATTTTATTTTAAATCTATATATATTTTTCAACATTTACACTTAAATGCAAAATCACTCTATTTTTAATTACTAGAATGTCTGTAACAGATTAACCTTCATTGCATATCTTTGTCCTCTTTGAGTTTATCCAGTCAAATACTTTTTAAAAGTTTATTTAAGATCTTTGGCAGAGTTTCAAGTTTTTCCTCAATGTCTTTATGTCGGGGTTGTGAACTACATAAGAGTTTCTACAGATTTTAATAATATCTGGATCCTAAGTATCTTCTAGGAAGCACTTTTTTTTAGTCATGTGGCCGGTTAATGCCATGGCTGATTAACAGGGGTTCAACTGTACATAAAATAGTTTTAATCAATATTCTAAAATAAGTCTAGTCTAAGTGATACTTAGCAAACAAAAAACACATGTAATAGTTGTACGTTTAAAAAAAAAGTATTCTACTTATAATTGAGAGTAGTATTGTAGGTTGTTTTGTTTTTATTAGTAACCTATTTGGAAACATTATTTTGTTATAGTGTTGTTAAGTTATAAAATATTAGGAAATAAGAGAAGAATAAACAGGATGTTTGAAAAACTACTCCTCAATTTTTAATATATTGCTTCCCAAATATCCAAAGCACATTACTGTTAATGTGGTGTGGAAAATGATATGAGACAGAAATTAGTAGTTATTACAATAACATTATATTGCATTAAATTAGAGGAAGATCCTGGTGTACATAAACAAATAGATCTAAAATAAAGTATTATATGTAATAAAATGATGAATCATACTCACAAGTTTATTATGTTCCTTGTACAATCCCAAAATAAAAACAGAAATATATAATTATGAATACCTTATTATGTCAATGATTTTCAATTTAAATCAAATATTGTAGTTGTTAGACTTTATAAGCTAAAATAAAATATTAAAAAATTATTTAATCATATATTTTATATCATTAAATTGTATATCATCCCTACTACACTACAGCCCTTCAAAAAAAAAAAAAAAAGGCAGCAGTCAGAGAAAGTTGTGTATTGAAACTTTCTTCTTGTTTTTTCCTCACCCTCTGATTTTATTTATAAAATAGTTACGATGATGCACATGTTTCACATTTACTTGAATATTGACCTATCTCAAAATTATTTTTTTCAAGAACACTTTTTACCATTCTTGAAGCAAACATGTCAATATCTATCAAAAATTGAGTCTTATGTATTTTTTAAAATAAGGGAATTGATATATGAGAACATGACATATTTTTATTTGAATTTTCTGAGAAGATAAGCTTATTCTGTTTCCCTATTGATTTACATTTTAACCACATCTTAGACTAGACAATTGTATCCCAGCATAACAGATTGGATACAAGATTCAATAGAAACTCTGAACTATCAGCGCTGTTTCACTGACAGATCGAAAAAAAATGACTGGCTTAACAAGTGCTGGAGTCTACATAGAGAATTTAAATATAGAACTAAGCATCCCAATAGGCAAACATTCTACCATATTTCAAGCCAAGTGTGCCAAATTATCTGCAGTTACATGTTTGGAAGTTATCAACTGTAAGAGGGGTGGCATCACTAACTATTCAGATAGTCATCGTTTCAAGCCCTAAAATCACCCAAACTGACCTCCACAATGGTACACAGGGGTACCCAGAAGGGGGTTTCATAGTGCAAGGTGCGCCATCAAAATTTTTGAGGGGGCATATTTTGACAGATTTTTGAGGAGGGCACATTTTGACAGAGTTATGAATTTTCGGAATGAAAAGTTTCATACTGAGGGACAAGGAGAAAACATAGACAGAAAGCAGCAAGTGTAATTGTGTATGATCTAGGATTCTTCTAATTCTACCTTCGCTATGTTTTTAAGAAAATATGAGCAATAAAAAATATTTGGAGTGGGAGAAGAGTAAGTTCTTGGGCCATCGATCTTGGGGGAAGAGATGGGCACCTCTAATGATAGAGGAGTGTAAACAGGAACTGAAGACATTGATCTGCTCCAGAAAAACTAGTGTGAATCTTGGGTCATATGAGAATTAAAAGCAATGAGAAAGCTGACATCCTAGCAAGAAAGGGAGTTTAAATCGATTATGGGACCAGAACTTGCAATAGAAATATCAAAGAAACATCAGAGAAAAAAAGTCCTTAATTGGATAATTGCTAGTGAACTATTTTAACCTACCTGTTATATTGAAACTTCTTACACTCCACTGTCTAATACCTAAATCAATGATTTTTAACTTGAGCCATTAATTCCCCAATGTAGTATAAACTCTAACTCAGAGAATCGAACAGGTGACTAGTTTATTTCCAGATAGTGAATGTTTTACTACCCATGACTGTATGCAGTATTTTGTGAACTAAATATAAATGAGCAGCGCATTCTATCTTATTTCACACCCTCCAGGTAACCTAGGATGCTCTCATTGTTGGTCAGGGAATCTATCTCCTTCTTAAATAGCTCTACAACTCATTGGAAAGTCAAGGCTTCCCTCAGTCAGAGCCACCAGTCTTCTCTTTTTTGTACTGCTGTCTTCCAATTTTTTATTTCTAACATCTGAGTATCTACTGATACGCAATCCATCCAACGCAGGTGAAGTCTTCCAATCTGACTAAACCCAAATATTTTTTCTTCAAGGAGCAATTTGGGAACTTCATTATTATTAACGTGTTCAACATGCCCTGCTCATCTTAGATGTCCAGCCTTTATTAAATAGACGATACTAAGGTTGTTTCCGAGATTCATAAGTTCAACATTTTTCCTCGATCTCCATACACCATTGATATACCTAGGCTCCATAACCTTTTCAAAATCTTTCTCTCAAATCTCAATACAGATGATTCTAGGGCTTATGTCATCGTCCAGCATTCAGAATAGTTGAGGATAGGCCTGATTAGGGTTGTATATATATATATATATATATATATATATATATATATATATCTTGGTGGTCCTAGAGAGATTTGATTTTTAGATCCTTCTCGAGTCCATAATAGCATTTATTAGCTGCCATAATCTGCCACTGAATCTCTGGTTGCATATTATTCATCGAGAATCCATTTACCCTAAGTGGTGATATTATACGTGCAAGGATGACCCACTAAGAGAGTGGAAAGAGATCTGGTTAGAGGAAAGCCTCTTGAATCAGTGTTGCCTCTGGACTCAAAGCAGAGCAGAATTTTCCTGCTCGTTTCGCATGGCATGACTATTTACAAATTTTTAAAAACATTTTCTAGGGTTAAGCATCAACACCAGTAACTCTCATAAAATGGGTCGCTAAGGGGGGTGGCATGGTTGCCACAGACCGGTGATGATTTGATTTTAATATACATCTATAAATATAATACAGCCTTATCTTCCACCCTTATATATTAGTTTTCAATCCATAAATAGAGGGCAATGCTCTGGTTGTGAATAGTCAGTAAAGTTCTAGTCTCTGTGTATAACAAAGAACTTATATATTTGTTTACAAGTTATAATATACTCCAAATATAGTGAGTAAATTACATCATAATTTCAACTATTATTAAATTTTTTATTTAGGTATTTTCCTTGAAATTCTAATAAAACCATCGTAAAAAAGAGAGCTACATATAAGTGCTGAAAAATACAATAGAGAATTTTGAATGAAAGAAAAAATAATTAGCTCAGAAACCATTCATAAATTATTTTCAACCTTTATTGAATAATATCTAAGTAATTGCTTCCATCTAAAGGAAAACAAATATTTTTGATTTCATTAGCCATGTCAGCTCTGATTTGTTATGTTACATCCTCTGGGCCATTTGGTATTTTTTATATTACTTAAAAAAAATTGTTAATTAAATTTATTTTTTTGTGACTGTATAGTGAATATACCTATACAAAACTTGAGATTTTTACTTTTGAGTTTGTTTCAAATTTTGTATCTATTTTTGTCTGTATATTTACTTTTCCCTTAGTAAACATTTTATTAATTGAATTTTAATATAGCTATATTTTTCAATGCTTTTGTTCACTTATATTGTAATTAGGTATTTTCCATGGACACCACATAATAAAATTATAAAAAAAATATATCATATCCTTTATTAATTACAAAATTTAGACTTTCCATTTGATAATAAACTTTTATTTAAAATATTTTTATAATTTTTTTCAACAAAACAAAGAAATATCTAGGAATAAAACTAACAGAACATAAATATATCATGTTTTTTTGAAGGGTGAACATCTAATTTCACAAGCAATTATTCTTGTTTTATTCATTCTTTCATTTGCAATTTAATGTTGGAATTCCCTCCCCTTAATTTTATAATTAGGTTTCCATGTTATATAACAAATTACTTACAATGAAATTAAATAATAATAGGAAAAAGGTTGAGGAAAACAAAAAATTAAAATTAACAGTTTAATATATTGACTTTAAAGGTAAATAATTATTTATAAAAATATGAATACTAAAAATGCTTTTTCAAGCAATGAAAATTATATATATTTGTATATATAAACATAAATTAGAGGTTAGATAGGAATGTACACAAATTAAAAATATTTTTGGGAGTGCTTTTTCAAATTAAGTCTTCTTTGACTCCCTTCTCACGATAAAATAACTTTTCATCTTCATATTTTTTCTGCAATTCAAACACAAAAAAAAAACAATTCAACTTCTTTCTTCATTCTCCATTCTTTTAAGTTTAAATTTTTATCTTATTCTTTTTCTCGTTGCAGTTTCATATCCTCGTGTTGCCTTTCATGCATCAATTTCAATTTCTCTTTCAGTAATGCTTCTTTTGAGTTAAATTCTTTTTCTTGTAAATGGAACTCTTTTTCCTTCAAAGAGAATTCCTTGGTTTCTTTTTCTTGTCTCATCTACTTCTATTTCTAGAGAAACCTCTAAATGTTCAGCAGCTTCTTCTATCTTTATTGCTATAAGATAAGCATACAAACAATTTCTTAAAAAATTACAATTAAATAAAAAAAATATATGTTAATAGAGAGCAGATATGAGCAAAAAGTATTTTAATTATTTTAGAGGAAGAAGATGATCCGGGATGGAGGTCATAAAAAGACTAAAATAATAGAAAAACTATTTTATTTAACGTCAACATTTGAACCCAACTCCGCAGGTCTTCTTCAGGGGAGTGTAAGCGGCATAAAATTTCAGTTGTAACTTCAGTTTTATGTCTACCACCCCGGACCATCTTCTTTCTCTAAAATATACAATGGTCAACCATCAAGTACTCAATATTTTAATTATTATTATAAAATAGATGTATTTAAAATACTTTCAGAAAAAATATTTAAAATTTAAAAAAATACAAATACAAATTACTTTTGTCTAAATTACCTAGTTGCACTTTAAAGCTGCTTCCTATAAAAAAATTTGTATTTTATTTATTTATTTTATTATTATTATTATTATGATCCTTTTAAGGAAAGCAATAATGACACAGTAGATATAGCTTTAAAACAATTGATAAAATATACTTTATTCAATCAATATTTAAAAAAAGACTGCCAAAGATATTATAATTGACCAACAAATAAATATGCTAATATATTAATTCTAAATTAAACTTTTTGGTAATTAGCTTTTAAAATTATCTGTTCCTCAAACAACTTATCATTCAACAATTTTATTCTGGGTGCATCCAACAAATTAGAGAACAAAATAGTCGTTCAATTGGCCATCGTGTGGGCAGCGGAGTGTTGTTATCTATAAAAAAAATTTTATCACAGGGTAGCCATCCAGAATTAGTGAATTTTTACTTCGATCTTGCAGAAATCTTAGGGTTTCAATTTCAATAGAATGAGAATGGCATTTGTATATAGAGAGGTATTTGAGTTATTTGCCTCTTTTAGATTTAGCCAATTGCAGGCTTAGTAAGTTTATCAATAATTAATATATTCCACATTTTCTCTTCCTCATTATATGAAGTGATTAATAATTCGTTAGCATAAAATATGAATTTTAATTTATAACAATAATTTTACTGAAAAAAAAAATTATTTTTAATAATTTCTTAGGTTAATTGTAATTTTCACTAACGAAACTACTAGAAACTGTATGTATTATCACTTTAACAATTATTTTTTAATCACTAGAGCATTTCACTGTAATTTTCAACTTCATTGTACTAAAAAATTAATATATTTCTTCTGATTAATTCGTGCATTCCTTTCTATGAAAAAATCCTTTAATCTTTCATAATTTCAAATGATATACCAGTTTTATTGCTAAAGATAATTTTATTAAAAATTTAAGACCATTAACCTTAAAAAATTTAAGCTGCAGTTTCGTGGGTAACTTCTAATAAGAACGATTAGTCTTACTACATAACTTAAAGGCGCCTTCTCAATTTGATAATGTATTTAAAATACAAAATAAAATACATTTAATGTACTTTATATTTTAAAATAATTTATTTGAAATACTGCCCAAGTGTGATAAAGAGCATCATGGAAATTTTTAATATTACGCAATCAAATTTAACCAACAGAGAATTGTAAACATACCTGGTTTCAAAAAGATGGACTTTGGTTCCTCCATCTCAACATTTTTCTCAATACTGTGTAACAAATTGTGATCTGACGAAGGACCTTCTTTTTTTTCTGATTCATTGCTCCAGTTATATTATGTTATCATATCTCCATGGCTGTATACAGATATACAATTTCTTAAAATCTACAATTTAAAGAGTTTGAAAAAAATATTAATTACATAAACATGTAACGTGAAAAACACGAGTACAATTCAACCTAATGATTAACAAAATATGAATCATAATAAAGAAACATTAAACATACCTTGCCTTAACAAGATGAGTTTCACATCCTCTAACTCATTGGGATAATGAGAGCTACAATCTGATGATAAAAAACAAAACAAAAACAAATTAGAAATCAATGGGGAAGAAAAACAGAATAAAAGATTAATGAGCTTGGACATACAATTTTTTTCTTGATAAAACTCATCAATCTTCTTTGAATGAAAAGGTATATCGCCAACCACATCTCCTGCATGAATATCATCCAACATCATTTCTACAAACATGAAACATCTTCTTAAATAATTAAATTAAAAAACAAAACAAATTGATACAGAATTATTTAAATTAAAATGTTAAGTACACATGCAATCACACTTCTGTAATTCCATTATCTACGCCCAATGGAGATAGGACACAATATTTCACAAAAATACAAATATATCACATAATAAATGGAATAGTATAATAACTTATTTGTATAATCATCAAATTGATGATATATCCAGTTACCTGAGGTCCCAGTATCTGAATTAATTTATTTTCTTTATCAGAAAATTTTGGGGAGGAGGGGAGGGGGCAAAACTGGGCCACCTCCGGTCCCTGATAGATATTTTTTGCGGTCCGTGAATTTCTGTTTTTGTCTATTTTTTAATGTTTTCGTACTTGTTTCTAATATTTGAAAATGTCCTCATTTGGACATTTGGGTTTGCATTAAACTCAGCAGCAACCCTATCCCAACACATTAGTTTCTGTTTAGATGTTGTAGGATCAGTTTTTTATTTTCCACAATTGAGCTATACTTTAAGAAGTTCTTAAAATTACTAGTTAAGACTAATTGTTGAAGGATCCCTTCTTTATAACTGAAGTTGGAAATTCTTTTGTCCATGTGTAAATATATAAGAATAAATAAGACAACATAATGATATGAAAACAATATCTAAAAACTTTTCGGGAATGAATTTTTAGAACATAACTGTTTTTAATGTTCCCTTTGTCTTAAAATATATTAATGAATTGTTTAATAAATAGTAAAAATAAAAACATGAAGAAATAGACATGACCTTGCAAAAAAGAATATTAATAATCCTTGATGTTTATAAATTATTGAAAAAGATAGCCGACTGTTCTACATTAGACCTGGGCACTCTTGAAATAATTTATTTCTGAAATAATTCACATGGTTATTCCACAAATGAATTATTTCGGGAATAATGGTTATTTCTGAAATAATATTTCAAACTGTCAATGAAATAGTCTCGATGGAATAACTGCTGAATTTATTTCTGAAATAATTATTTCAGTATTCTGACATTCTTTGGACTAAAGTAAATTATTTCGAAATGAGTTATTTCTGAAATAAATTATTTCATAACTATTATTTCAGAATTATTTGTTTCATAAATAAATCATTGCAAAAATCAAGAAATGAATATTTCAGAATTAACATTGTTCTGAAATAAAATAAAAAATTTACCAAAATGCACCATGTTTTCAGGGTATCTTTTTATGAAAATAGTGTCGAATTTGAGACTGCGCCCCCCTCCCCTCCCCCAACCACCAGTATCGAATTATTGTAAATTTTCGGATTTGATCAATATCAGGGTCGACTATGATATTTTCGGGGTAGCTTATTATGAAAATACAGTCAAGTTTGAGATTGCACCCCACCATACCCCCCCTCTCCCTCCCCCAATGGGCTTTTAGTAATCTTTCGGATTTAATCGATATCAGAGTCAACTATTACGTTTTCGGGATAGCTTACTATGAAAATGCGGTGGAGTTTGGGATTGCACCCCACCATACCCTCTCCCCCCCTCCCTCCCAATGGGCTTTTAGTAACCTTTCGGATTTCATCGATATCAGGGTCAACTATTATGTTTTCGGGATAGCTTACTATGAAAATACGGTCGAATATTAGATTGCATCCCCCCCCCACCCTCTCACATCAACTTTTTGTAACTTTTCTGAAATAAACGATATCAGGGTCGACTATAATGTTTTCGGGGTAGCTTATTATGAAAATACGGTTGAATTTGAGATTGCGCTCCACTCCCTCCTCCTCCCCAAATCGACTTTTAGCAACCTTTGGAATTTAATCGATATCAGTTTCGACTATTATGTTTCCGGAGTAGCTTAATATGAAAATACTGTCGATTTTGAGAATGCGCCCTTCCACCCTCCCGCATCGGCTTTTTGTAACTTTTCGGATTTAATCGATATCAGGGTCAACTATTATATTTTCGGGATAGCTTACTATGAAAATACGGTCGAATTTTAGATTGCGCCTCCTCCCCCCACCCACCCTCTCACATCAACTTTTTGTAACTTTTCTGAAATAAACGATATCAGGGTCGACTATAATCTTTTCGGGGTAGCTTATTATAAAAATATGGTTGGATTTGAGATTGCCTCCCTCCATCCCCCCTCCAATCAACTTTTAGTAACTTTTCCGATTTAATCGATATCAGGGTGTCCTTTTATGTTTTTGGGGTATCTTTTTGAAATTCGGCCGCATTTTCTTAATAAGCTACCCCGAAAACATAATAGTCGATCCTGATATCGATTAAATCCGAAAAGTTACAAAAAGCCGATGCGGGAGGGTGGAAGGGCGCATTCTCAAAATCGACAGTATTTTCATATTAAGCTACTCCGGAAACATAATAGTCGACCCTGATATCAATTAAATCCCAAAGGTTGCTAAAAGTCGATTAGGGGCGGGAGGGAGGTGTGCAACTCTAATTCGACCATATTTTCATAATAAGCTACCCCGAAAACATAATAGGCGACCCTGATATCGATTAAATATGAAAAGTTACTAAAAGTCGGTTAGGGGAGGGGATGGTGGGGCGCAATTTCAAATTTGACATTATTTTTATAATTAGCGGCCCTGAAAACATAATAGTCGACTCTGATATCGATTATATTTGAAAAGTTACAAAAAGTCGATGCGTGGTGGGGAGGAGGTGGTGCAATCTCATATTCGACCGTATTTTCATAATAAGCAACCCCGAAAACATAATAGTCGACCCTGATATCGATTAAATCCGAAAGGTTACTAAAAGTCGATGGTGGGGCGTAATCTCAAATTCGACCGTATTTTCATAATAAGCTACCCCGAAAACATAATAGTCGACCCTGATATCGATTATTTCAGAAAAGTTACAAAAAGTTGATGTGAGAGAGTGGGGTGGCGCAATCTCAAATTTGATATTATTTTTATAATAAGCACCCCCGAAAGCATAACAGTCGACCCGGATATTGGTTATATCTGAAAAGTCGATCAGAATGATTATTTCTGAAATAAACATTTCAGATATCGTTATTCCTGAAATAATTTATTCCCGAAATAATCATTTCGGAAATAATGGTCTGGTTATTTCATAAAATAAATTATTTCGTTAATAACTACCGAGGTTTATTTAGGGATTTATTCCAGGAATATTTTTCAAATAAATTCTGCCCAGGTCTATTCTACATACTATAAATGATAAATAGTCAGGACGCAGTCGTTCTAAAGGTTTTTATTTACTGCGTCCTGACTATTTATAACCTATGGTACATAATGTTTGTAACTATGAAATGAATAATTTTACCAATCTTAATTTAACTTTCTTTAAATATTTACGAGAACAAACGCTGTATGGACGAGGAGAAACTCAGACAAATTAATTAACTTCTAACTTTCGATGTATGAAAAAAAAACACCTAACTTTTTGAAGCTCACACAAAGAACAGTAATAGTAACCTACTTGCTTTCTACAGCTGTTCAGATTTAACGGTTCTCTGTGATGTTTAAGTTGCCGGTTCGTTCCTTTTATAATAGTACTAAACTTCATAAAAAAATCCCTATCAATTTGAAAGGAAAAAGTAAAAGCTCTCAGGAGTGGTTAATTAGGCAACTTAAAGATCCCTATGTTGAAAATGCGAGAATAAAAAATTATAGGTGATGTTTCTTTTTCTTTTTTTTAATTGAGGCCCTGTGTCATAAAACACTAGCTAAAAAGTATTTATTTGAATTAAATTATATAAATGAAAACATATATTTTTACTATGTTTATTACAATGGTTTGATTCCAACCATCAGTCTCTTACCATATCTCAATAGGAACATTACATTTTAAAGAAACAAATTCATGGCATATTCTGTCAATAATGAGATCAGACCAGTCTGGTGTTACCAAAAACTTTCATTCACATAAAATCGTCAGATACCATGGCTTTAGGACTGAGTACCTCAAGATTTTTATTAATTTAAATTTAATGTCATTATTTTTTAAATCTTGTTCATTATCAATACCTCTTAGTCAGTCATCCATACTCTCTACATTTTTCGATTCTGGTATTGTATTAAAATGTTTAAAGTTTTTTGTCTTTATTTTGTTCAATTGTTCTTTTTTAAAAGTCACCCACAGAAATATCGTATGACGAGTCATATAGCTCTCTGTGTGTTGAAGCCTTAATTATAAAGCTATAAAGTTTATTTCTTATGAACAATAAATATGAAATTGTTCATCATTTTAGTGACTATTTTATAGAAGCAGGAGTGCATTTAAACTATTAGAAATTGATGCAAAGCATAAAATATTGTGCCCGGGACAGTGTGTGATTGATTGTGGAGCTGCTCCTGGGGGATGGACACAAGTAGCTGTTGAAAAGACAAATGCTGCATTAGCAGGTAACTTAATATTCATTTAAGAGCCAACTTTAAATTGTTTTTCCAAATAACCTGGTATTATCTAGACATTTTAAACTGATGTTATATTTTTTAGATAAACACGCGGAACAAGGATTTGTTGTTGGAATTGACCGACTCCAAATATTTCCTATTGAAGGTGCAGTCTTGTTGAGCGGATGTGATTTCAGGGAAAAATCATCCCATGAAAAGTTGCATGATGCACTGCAAGGTAGAAAAGTTGATGTTGTTTTGAGTGATATGGCTCCAAACGCAACTGGCATAAAAACAATGGATCATGATGCTATTGTTTCATTAGCTTATGAGTTTATAAGGTTAGAATTTTTTTAAATTTTGGAATAAGCTAATAAATAAAATAAGTCAGATGCACTGAATGTGAAGTAGAAGGTCACGATTTTCCTCTGCATTTTATGTTTGGATTTATTTGGTTTATCTTGTTTTACTTAAATAATAATGGTAGATAAACCATGGACTTACAGATTCACATTAAATTTTCGATTAAAAATTTATTTAATTTTCCCGAAAAGGGAAAAATTAATTTATGTTTAAATATCATTAGATAAAAAAATAATATTAGAAAGATGTTAATTTATTCCAATTATTATTTTATGAATTTAGATTTGCCTTAAAAGTCAACAAACTAAATGGTTTTATGCTCCTGAAGTTGTGGGACGGTGGAAGATTGATAAACCTTGAAGCTGACTTGAAAAAGTTTTATTCTTCAGTAAAGAGATTGAAACCACCTGCGAGCCGATCTGATTCTTCTGAAATTTTCATCTTGGCTCAAGATTTCAAAGGAGTATATTCAACAGATTGACCAGTCATCTCGTTTGATCAGTGAAAAATGGTCTCTAATTATGTCAAAATATTTTCATCTTGTTCAAAATATTCTGATATTGTTCACTAGGAACAGTAGTGTAGCAGTTATTATGATGTTTGGTATTAATTAATCTGTAATTTCAAACACTGCATAGTTTTATGTTCAATAATATGTTCAAAATTAACAATTCACAACCTTTTGACATTTATTTACTAATTGAGGTTCTGTTAACTGACAACATTGAGGTTCTCTCTCATATTTGCACATCCTTTATTCCTACAATTTTCTCAACAGTTGATAATTTCTCTTCCAATTTAACTTTGATACTGAGAGAATGGATGCAGATATAAAATAATAAGTTTTTTGATTTATTATTTATATTCCATTGGATTTGTCATTAATTTAATAATTTCTGATATATTTAAAATGTTTACTGTAATTATGTCTCCGATAATACGACTATTTTCAAAAGCGAGATCTTTAACAGATTTTGTGACAAGATTGGAATTAAACAAAAATTATAGCTCCTGGACATCCAGCGACGAACGGTTTGGCAGAAAGAAATATCCAAACACTAAAAAATAAATTGAAAGCAATGTCCAAACTTAAGATGCCTCTACATACCAAAGTCCAGGAGATTCTTCTGTGATACCGATCAACACCCTTAGCATGTGGTATGTCACCAGCAGAACTATACCTTAATAGGAAAATAAACATAAAATTAGATGCGCTTAAGCCGCATAATGATTTTACAAACTTTCAACCAATAGAAGACAAAAAGGTTCGGCAGCTGCAGGTAGGAGACAGGGTGCAAGCAATATGGTATGCGAACAATAAGCCTTCTTGAAGGTTTGGCACAGTAGTTAATAAATTTGACAGGTTGCACTACCTAATCAATTTAGATGGAGATGGGCACACACTTAAGCGTCATATAGACCAACTGCGTCAGATTCACGTTCCTGAACAACCAAAAAGTGTACTTACGGCTGATAGGAAGGATACCTCCAAAACAGTTACATTGCTTGGCATTCCAACGCCTACAACCCCAGCAGGAAGCGAAACCTGTGGGGTTTCTGAACCGATGATGGAAACTGGGCCACATCCATCTCATGCAGATGTGACACAGAATGACAGATCGGAGAGTGACACCACTTCTGCTCCTGAACCAGTAATGACCGACTTACAGCCTCTGCGCAGACCACAGAGACGTCATCATCCTCCAGCTTATCTTTCCGATTATGTGCTAAATTAAGTCGCAGAGAGCTGTTGTATCTATTGATCATCCGGGATTAAACACATGAGATCGACTAAATATTGTTGTTGAGATTAATGATAATTAAATCAGTTGTAAAAATACAAAGATCAAATAGAAATATTATAAGAGAAGCGTTCTACTTTTTTCAATTACAATTTGAAGATTTCCTGTATTCGACATAACAATACCTGCAAAAAAATTGTAAGTTTTATTTTACACTCTTCATACTCGGCAGGTATTAAAGAATATTTTTTTTTTCCTCGTTGGTAATTCTTGTGAAGGATTCAACGCATAAATAAATTGTTTACACTATCTTCGACAATAGAAAAAGGTTGGTAATCCTGGGTAAAAAGTTTTAGTAAGTAATCATCAATGGTCTTTTTATCTTGTGCAGATAATCTTCTAAACGCTAAGTCAGTTATTTTCATCTGTGAATTACAAGGTTGGGCAAAGTCCAATGAAAGTGGTAGGAGAATGTCGCTGGTGCTTGAAGATAAATCTTGATTCTGAAGCGTTGATGGTTCCAAATATCTGATCAGATTGAAGCCTAACTTATTTGCTGTGGAATTATTTACACTGTTGGATGATGCCGGATAATATGTTTTTTTTTTTTAATTATTAGTAGTCGACTTATAGCTAAGCATTGTTTTGCATATGTTACATTTTGCTAAGTCTTTATCAATTTGCTGAAAATGGTACTACACAACGCTTCTTTTTAAACGAAGATTGATCGATGACATGTTAGAATTAATAAAACAGCAAAATAAAAATACACAATCTAATCTAATAAAACTAACTAATTGCGAATTATAATAAATAAAATTAACAAAACAATGAACTAAATATGTAAAAGAACTAAACTATATGAAATAATTTACACAAACTATCTATACCAACACTAAATGTTTTAAAGACACAAAAAAAACAGACAATTTTCGAATAGTGAAGCAAATAGAACTGAAAGGATCTCCTATATAATATGGAGAGTAAGGTTTCTACAAATAGCAGAATTGACCTGGCTAAGGATGGTAAAAAATACTTAAGATTTAAGGTGGTGTTGAGCTCAACTATCATTCTGTAATCCTTCATGTTCATTCCATTCTAGAATCAAAGATAATTTTTTTAACTATATATATAAAATTCTTAATAATAATTATTAATTGACTTATATTGATTTCTTCTTGATTATCCTGTTTCGAAAGATATAAATGATGTTGCAACGAAGAAGCCAAAACATATAGAAACGAATCCTTTGAAATTATTTTTTTTATATTATTAAAAATATATTAGTACTTGTTACTATTATTTCTACAATTTTATGAGATAAAAAGTCTTATTTTTAGACACAGACACAACCCCTATAATTAGTTTTGTTTACTAACGTTACTTTTAGGTTTCTTTTCTTTAATTTTAATTAATTTTCTTTGTTTTCTTTACTTTATTTGCAATATGACTGTAACCATGTGATTGGATTTTCTATCTTGTAAAAATCGAAATATCAAATTTATAATTTTTAATGTTTTATTTCATATTAATGTTACTATATTAATTAATCTTCCTACGTTATTAATCTTCCTCTAGTCTGTGGCGGGAAGTCATTAACTATCGATATAACCGATAATTTTTCATCGATAGTGGAAAACTATCGATAATACCGCTAAAATCGACTATCTTCCATATCTAAGTTTTTTTTGGCTCTAAGACTTGTAAAAGCAAGTCCTATTTTGCCAGCAAAATATTTTGTTTGTCATAGTGAGATGAAATTACAGTTTTTAGAGGGAAATTACACTGGATTTATATTAATTATTTACAGTTAGATGATAACTGAAAGTGACTTATATGGGACTTGGATATTAGATATTATGGAAACTAGCAAGACTAATGGTTAAAAACTGAGATAAATTAGAATTTCAATTAACTGAGAATAAGTGCCGACTTTTATTATATGACTGCTTTGATGTCATTCATGAACTTTAACAAGTCACGGGCGTTATCTTTATTCATCGACCGAAGAAAGTTAGCTCCATCATCCATAGTTTGCGACCCTAAACTAATTCTTCTTCGCTTTTCGAACCTTGTGTCTTGGATCCTCCAAGCATTGGCATGTTGGGCATTGACTGCTCTTAGCTAGACCCATTAGATGAAGATATTTATTTGTTCTACCGTGGTTTATCCTAAGCCTCGTCAGCTTTATTAAGCTGGAGCGGTCGAGATGAGATTTAAGGGTCGCAAACCATGGAATCAGTGCTATCTTCTGTTGAACTGCATGATGATCCTTAGCCTTCGAGGCACATTCCCAGTCGTAGAAATGCTGCCTGTCTTTCATTATTTTCCCCCTCACTACTCTTATCAAATCCAGTAAAGGGACCTTCGCGTTTATTCGATGTAGTTGGTTTTGGTTTGCCGTTTTGTCTGCCATTTCATTTACTGATATTCCTACGTGTCCCGGCACCCACTGAAAAAAGTAATTGTTGCTGGCGTTGTATATCAGAGATATAATTTTAAAGGAAATGTGTGTCAGTGCTTTATTTTGGTAGATTAATTTTAGGTGTTTACATGCCGTTGCAGAGTCTGTCAGAATAACTATTTTTTGGTTGATATATGTGTTTTCACTGTATATTATGGCGTTAAGAATGGCATATAGTTCGGCGCTGAAAATACTGAAATCAACTGGAATTGATAGTGAAAATTTCTGGTTCTTTTGGGGATCATACACAGCTACAGAAGTTCGGTTACTTGTTTTTGATGCGTCTGTATAAATTTGTAGATAATTTGGATAGCGGTCCGTGATTGTGTTAAGTGCTAATTGTTTCAAATAAATTGGTGGGTATGAACTTTTCTTCTCTAATTTACCAGCTAGATTAGAGGAGCTGTGAATATTAATTAAAGATTTGGGAATGGGCGTTGTGTATTCTAGAGGAGCTTCCGAAATGTGTAGTGATTTAATAAGAGGCTGCAATTCGTTAATAATGAAAGATAGTTGGGGACAGAACACGTTTCCACTTCTAATTTCTTTACCTACAGGGTGATTATTGTCGGAATACACTTTGAGAATGTATTTTTTCGTTAACCATGACCTTCTGATGTGTAATAGCATCTCTCCGGCTGAGGCCTATAGCGCGTTTACTGGGAAGGTTTTAAAAGCACCCAAACATAACCTTATGGCACAGTTTTGTATTGTATTCAAATTATTAATGAGGGAGGATTTAGTTTGATTGTATACGACACAACAATAATCAAAGTTAGATCTTACTATTGTTTTGTAGAGAGTGAGCTTGTTTTGTGGGTGAGAACTCCACGATACTCCAGCTAAAGATTTTAGTATGTTTAAGTTTTGCAGCGACTGTGAGTGAAAATTTTTATATGCATTTT